TGAAGGATATCAGTTCAGTTCTGTGTTTTATGAGCCGGTTCACCGTGTCTGTAGTGACAGTAGTAACGCCTCGTGTTCGCCGTCTCCAAACAGTTGTAGTTGTTTTGTGATGTGATGTGAGAAACTGATCTGGGATATGCAAGGATCCGTCTGTGACACTTCACAATAAGCTTCCATTTGTGAACATTAGTGAACTAATAATGAAAATACTCTTACAGCATTTATTAATCTACTTTCAGCATTTACTAAGACATTAAAATCCAAAATCTGCTAATATTATTTAATGGAGCTGAGCTAACATGAACTAACAATGAGCAGTCGCATTATTATTAATATTAACAAAGATTACGAAGTACTGTTATTGCTCATTGTTAATATCTTGACTAGTGTTACTGATCACTCCGTCTCAAGTGCTCCAACAATTATAAAGTTGCTTGCTTGACCATTTGTTTTTTTTCAAACCACTACTTTTTTTGTTTTTTATTTTATTTGGTTTAACCTCAGCGGTGTCTTTGCGTTGGTGCACGACATAATTTGGTTATATGGATGTTGTGGAAAATTCCAAAAATTCAAAAAAGCCAAGCAACCGTGTTGTTTCTTTGATGTGTTACAAAAGTGTTTTGCATTTTTTAAAACTTTAATATAATCACCGTTCACACGGATCCACGCAAACGGTGTTTATTCGCTGCATTGTCCATGCCAGGCCTGTAGAGAAACAGTTTTCAAAAATCTGTGTTTTCTAACTGTTGTTGTTTAAATGAACGGCCAAAACGCATAAAATCTTTCCATTTTTAGTTGAAAAGTTGATGCTGTGAAAATGGTGCATGATGATTATAAAAGAATCCATTTAATGTGTTTTAAAGAAAACATTGTGTTTACGGTGTGTGATATAATTGTGTGATTTTGTATAATGCGGTGGATGAACCTCATCTCGTTTGATCACTTTATTACAGATGTTTTGTTAATGGTTTCTAAAGGTTTACGTGGACTTGCTCCAGAATAAATCTCCAGCCTGTTACAGCATCATCATGCTGCAGACCTTTAGGATCGTCTCAGAGTTGCCTCTTAAATGTCCCGAAGTGGCGGTTGAGAACTAAAGGAGATGGTGCCTGTGGAATAGCCTCCGCTGCACATCAGATCCTGTGACGCGACTGAAGGCTTTAAAGCAGTGCTGAAGACGCACCTCTACTCTGTTGCATATAACCATCCTCAGATGGGTTTTGTGTTTTAATGTGTTGGTGTGTAGGTGTTTTGTAAATTTGCGAGGGTAAAGCACTTTAGTCAACTTGTTTTTAAATGTGGTATAGATATATATGTTGATTGCTTGATAATGTGCAGAATTTGACAACATTCCTACTGTCAGACTCACACACTTTTTTTGTGTGTCTGTGATGTTTGTGCTCCTGCTGGTGTTTCCTCATTTTGGACTTGCTGTTCTCCAGCCCTGCGATCTGTGTTTGTGTTTGTGTTTGTGTGAGTGTGTGTGTGTATGTTTTTGTGAGTGTGTGTGAGTGAGTGAGTGTGTGTGTGTTTGTGTGAGTATGTGTGTGTGTGTGTATGTTTTTGTGAGTGTGTGTGGGTGTTTGTGTGAGTGAGTGTGTGTGTGTGTCCAGATGTTATTCAGTCCGAACAGGGTCAGCTGGAGTCTGATTGCATCACTGTAGCTGGAGTGGATCCAGTGATATTAATAGAAACACATGCTTAAAATAAACACACACACACGCACTGTGCGTCTGTGTTACTGGAACAGTCGCTGCTGTCTGCTGCTTCTCCATCCACCCATCTGATTGGACACAAACACACACATATACTCACACAAACACACTCACACACACACACACACACACACACAAACACACTCACACAAACACACACTCACACGTGTGTATCTGCACATCAGTTGAATTTTATATGAATTCATTCATGGATGCTCTTTGATCATCATGTTGCTTGGCAACCGTAAACAGCCTGTATTTTTGCTAATGAAGTACATTAGTGTTTTTGCTGATATTGTTGTGATCCATCTCTCAGGTTGCGATAAAGATCGTGGATAAGACTCAGCTGGACGAGGAGAATCTGAAGAAGATCTTCCGGGAGGTTCAGATCATGAAGATGCTGCGACACCCTCACATCATCCGTCTGTACCAGGTCCCGCCCCCTCCCTCACGCTCGCAGCTGATTGGTCTGTGGTTTGTGTTCGGTTGAGTGTGATTGGCTGAGTCTGTGTGTGTTTGGCAGGTGATGGAGACGGAGCGGATGATCTATCTGGTGACCGAGTACGCCAGCGGAGGAGAGATCTTCGGTGAGACAGGACTTTGATTCAGAAGAATCAGTTCACCAGAACAGTGTTGAACGTCTCTGAGGTGTTTCTGCTCCCGTGTGTTTCTCAGATCATCTCGTGGCTCACGGACGGATGGCGGAGAAAGACGCGCGGCGGAAGTTCAAGCAGATCGTAGCGGCGGTTTATTTCTGTCACTGCAGGAACATCGTCCACAGAGACCTGAAGGCAGAAAACCTGCTGCTGGACCACAACCTCAACATCAAGATCGCAGGTGTGTGTGTGAGTGTGTGTCTCTGTGTGTGTTTATGGAGTGTGTTTGACCATCCGTCTCTCTGTCTCCTCAGATTTCGGCTTCAGTAATCTGTTTTCTCGAGGACAGCTGCTGAAGACGTGGTGTGGCAGTCCTCCGTACGCCGCGCCCGAGCTCTTCGAGGGGAAAGAGTATGACGGACCTAAAGTGGACATATGGGTAAAAACCAGCGTCTGTCTGACCTCACGTACACTATCCCATCAAGTTCATTTAAAAATGGCCTTATGTGCGATTTAAATGTTTGTATCCAGTGTTTGTATACACTAACCCTACCACATATCACATAGACATTGCATGTGTAAAATGTTAATGCATCGTGGACAGCAGTGAGAGACCCGCCTACTCACCTGTCAATCAAACGCTGCTCTAAAGCCAGTGTCGTTCCTGCTGTCATGTGCAGATTTACTTGAGAGTACAGCAGAAACGCACACATGCAGCGAGCGTCTCCAGTGTGCTGCGTGACGCAGATCATGTGATCAGCTACAGCACTGAGCATGAGTGTGTGGTGACCTGAGTCTGATGTAAACGTCTCTCTCTGTAGAGTTTGGGTGTGGTGTTGTATGTCCTGGTCTGTGGCGCGTTACCATTTGATGGAAGCACTTTACAGAACCTCCGCGCACGAGTCCTCAGTGGAAAGTTCCGGATCCCGTTCTTCATGTCCACAGGTACACACAAGCACACTCTCATACTCACACACATATTCTCTGACACACTCACTCAAATTTACACACACTCACTCTTGCTCACTCACTCACTCTCTCACACACACACACACACACATACTCTTGCACACTCTCACACACTCACTATCACACACACACTCACTCCTCACTCACACACACACACACACATGCACACACTCTCACACACTCACTCCTGCTCACTCACTCACACACACACACACACATACTCTTGCACACTCTCACACACTCACTATCACACACTCACTCCTCACTCACACACACACACACACATGCACACACTCTCACACACTCACTCCTGACTCCTGCTCACTCACACACACACACACACACACACATGCACACATTAAGGCTGTCAAAAAAAATTTGAATTTCGAATATTCGTCGAATTGAAAATAAAAATCCACATTTTAGGTGTGCGTTAAGGAGGCAGCTTATCAGCGGCACACGAGATGTGATGACGATGTAAGTGTCGTTGCATTATAATGCTTTTGTTAGTCTATCCAGTTGAAGCCACTAGATGCGGTGCTGCTGCGTTGTTAATTACAAATATTGCGGGAAAAGATAACATCAATGCGGAGAAGATCTTGTTTACATCAAAACCCGAAACCAAGCCGTTCACACAGAACACATATTTCACGCATTTTCTGGACTAAATATTTAGATCCGCTGTAGATATTTACTTGACCTTTCAGGGTCAACTGTCTGTCAACTCTAAGAACGTTAATTTCCTGGTTAAGGGAAATAAGTTTCTTACTGTACAATTCTACACAGAGAATGTAGCATAAATCTGCATGATTAAGTGACTCCAGTTATGAGCAAACAATGAACAACGTCAAGTGTGATACAAGTAAGA